ACTCCTTTTTATACTACTCCAACCTTCTAGACTTCCTCTGCCCACTGTCCACACACCCCATTATAGTCAGGACTCGCAGTCAGGACTTGTCTAGACTATATTCCTCTGTCGAAAGAGGAATGTAAATGATGTCAATAGAAAAACCTAAATTGCCTGTCTATCATGCCCTTGGTTTTTAATCATCACTTATCTTCCTTATAATGATTATTTGAAATCTTCTGGACAGTGACAAAAAAGATCCTTCCTGTAAATTGTTTTGATATTACTGAATAGTTCTTTGATGAAATCTAGGTTTTAGAAGGACCTGATAAACGTCTTAAGACACCAGAATCTGACCTTTCTTAAGCATTAGAATCTGTCCCTAATTTAATATAAATTTAGATTATGATACGTGATACATTAACATTTAAAATAGAATAACAATGGATGACTTGGTTTATTTTCTTCCTAGTTATTTTTATTTTTTGATACTTTCACACTGAAATATGATCCTTATGCCCTCTGGAATCCAACGTACTTTGCACTGAACATATACATGCAAATATATCATTGAAACTACACATGATAAAATGAATAATATAATATGCTTTTTGTAATATTTACTCCCTCATATTGCACATAATGTATATATTCAATTTAGATTGTGTTAGGCTCTAATCTTATAAACATATACTCACATGAGTAAGCACTAAGCAGACAAGCAGTCCTATGGATTTCAATGAGACTATTCATGTAAGTAAGGAATACTTGTGGAAGTAAAAACAGGTAGACTCTTACTCTGTCTGGAGCAAATACCTGTCTGAATTGAAGTGCAGATTAAAAAGACTTGATACAGCCTTAGGCCTCATTCCGGCAAACACATAACAGACTTTTTTACATTACTGTTATTTCAGAAAATGTGCATAATTTCAATACATACTCACAACTCATACATGAAACTCCCTGCAAGCTCAATAAGGTTTGCGCATGACTATTATGTGAAGGACTAGGGCCCTTCACAGCTATGCAAACCACATCACATACCATAAATCTGGTGTCCTCCCATGAAATCTGGCCTTTTGTGTGCTTTTACCCTATCCTGAACAGATTTCACAGCGTGGGGATGAGAACTTCTCAGATTGGGGATCCCGGCTCAAAAAGAAGTTGCAGGGGGGTCGTAAGGGTATTTTCGGAGGGTCATGCTATTGCCAGTCTTACTTCTGCACTGCCTTCAGAACTGTGCAACTGGAGAGTGGTAGTTGTAATGTTGGCTGGGTGCCCAGTTCTGAAGGTAGCATCCCACCAGCAGCCGTGCAGAAGTAAGAGTAGCAATGCCATACCCATATCACCCTTACTTCTGTACCGCTGCTTTCAGAGCTTGGTGGCCAGAGAATGGCAGCTGCTGACTCAGGACCCAGCTCTGAAGGCCATGGCATCGAAGGGTGGCAATAACATAAATACCATCCTTCTGCTCAGCTGCTGACAGTAGTTCTGCCTTCAGAACTGGATTCCTGGCCAGCAGCCACTGCTCTCCGGCTGCCCAGCTATGAAGGCAGAAGTAAGGTAACAATACTGCAACCTCATCCTAAAAAAGAGCACAGAAGACACTTTTTGTCTTGAATTTTGATTTTGTTCTTAAGAGACTGACACATTTGTGCATACAATATCTATTGCAACTGGAGAGTGGTAGTTGTAATGTTGGCTGGGTGCCCAGTTCTGAAGGTAGCATCCCACCAGCAGCCGTGCAGAAGTAAGAGTAGCAATGCCATACCCATATCACCCTTACTTCTGTACCGCTGCTTTCAGAGCTTGGTGGCCAGAGAATGGCAGCTGCTGACTCAGGACCCAGCTCTGAAGGCCATGGCATCGAAGGGTGGCAATAACATAAATACCATCCTTCTGCTCAGCTGCTGACAGTAGTTCTGCCTTCAGAACTGGATTCCTGGCCAGCAGCCACTGCTCTCCGGCTGCCCAGCTATGAAGGCAGAAGTAAGGTAACAATACTGCAACCTCATCCTAAAAAAGAGCACAGAAGACACTTTTTGTCTTGAATTTTGATTTTGTTCTTAAGAGACTGACACATTTGTGCATACAATATCTATGGGTATGACTACACTGGTTTTTTTTTTCCAAAGAAGGTATGCAAATTGTGCTTGCATTTGCATATCTTCTTCTGATTTTTTTCCGGAAGACGATTTTCCAATATGTGGCCCATCTACATGGGGCCAAATGTTGGGAAAAAAACCTCTTTCAGAAGCCCCCCGTACACCTCGTTTTACAAGAAATAAGGGGGCTTCCAAAAGAGGGGTTTTTTTTCCAACATTTGGTCCCATGTAGACGGGCCAAATATCGGAAAATCCTCTTCCAGAAAAAAATGGGAAGATATTCAAATGTGAGCGCAATTTGTATACCTTCGGGAAAAAACCAAAGTGTAGCCATACCGTATGGCTGTGTCTACATTGGCACCCCTTTCCGGAAAAGGGATGCTAATGAGACACTTCGGAATTGCAAATCCGCAGGGGATTTAAATATCCCCCGTGGCATTTGCATTTACATGGCTGCCGCTTTTTTCCGGCTTGGGGATAAGTCGGAGAAAAGTGCCAGTCTAAACGTGATTCTCCGGAAAATAAGCCCTTTTCCGGAGGATTTCTTATTCCTACTTGAAGTGTCTCATTAGCATCCCTTTTCCGGAAAGGGGTGCCAATGTAGACACAGCCTATGTGTTTACACTGCTTTTTATGTCCCATTTCTAGACTCTTCAAAGTTTACATAATCATTTCTGCTACCACTAATCTTGAATGTCAGGTTCCACTATCAGTTATTTAACGAGACTATACACATGTATTATTAATACACTCTGCACCATATTATACATTTTTCATTTGATTTTTTTAGACTAATCTTAAAACAACCTAGAAGTAAATTGATGTTTAACCAATGTTAGGAACACTGGGTGTGAAGGCTCACTACAGTCTCCCAGGTCTCCAGCTCCCGTTGTCTGGGTTTCTGGCTGGTCCACCTCTGGAGCTCCTCTAGAAGGCCTTTCCTCTCCAGCATCCAGCCCAGACTGAGCTACTCCTTTTTATACTACTCCAACCTTCTAGACTTCCTCTGCCCACTGTCCACACACCCCATTATAGTCAGGACTCGCAGTCAGGACTTGTCTAGACTATATTCCTCTGTCGAAAGAGGAATGTAAATGAGCCCAATTGAAAGTGCAAATGAAGCGCAGATTTAAATATCCTGTGCTTTATTTGCATATTCATGTTTGAGTGCTGTTTTGAAAAAGGGTTTTTTGAAAGTGAAACCGCAGTCTAGACATGGTTCTTTTGAAAAAAAAAAAAAAAAACCTTTTACAAAAGAACCCGTACACCTGCAAAAATCAGGAGTACAGGTTCTTTTGTAAAAAGGTTTTTTTTTCCAACAGAACCACGTCAAGACTGCACTTTCACTTTCGGAAAACCCTTTTTTGAAACAGCAATCGGACGCGAATATGCAAATGAAGCGTGGGATATTTAAATCTGTGCTGCATTTGCATTTTTGATTGAGCTTATTTACATTCCTCTTTCGACAGAGGAATATAGTCTAGACGAGTCCTGACTGCGAGTCCTGACTGTGATGGGGTGTGTGGACAGCGGGCAGAGGAAGTCTAGAAGGCTGGAGCAGTATGAAAAGGAGCAACTCAGTCTGGGCTGGATGCTGGACAGGAAGGGCCTTCTAGAGGAGCTCCAGAGATGGACCAGCCAGAAACCCAGACAACGGGCACTGGAGACCTGGGAGACTGTAGTGAGCCTTCACACCCAGCAGAACTGCAGGAGACTGGAGCTGTGGCTGTGGAGTCTGATGATCCTGAAACTATAGGGTTCATCCCAATGCCAGAACTGGTAGGAAGGGACTCAGGGAGGGTGCGCAAGTTGTATCTTCATCCGAGTGAGCTTGGTGTCTTGCGGTGGGATTCCCTGCTGAGCAAGTGTTGGTTCATTCCCCCACTGATAAGGCCCTGGGTCAGGGCCAGGTGGAGTAGTGTAGGTCAGGACCCCCCTAGTGGGGCTACGGCCCAAACCCCCCTGTATCTCTAGCCATTATGCTGTGCTGCCCTGAAACCCAGGGCTGTGTTACTGACTCTAGCCATTGGACTGTGTTATGGACTCTTAGGGTATGTCTACATTAGCCCCCTAGTTTGAACTAGGGTGTCTAATGTAGGCATTCGAACTTGCAAATGAAGCCTGGGATTTAAATATCCCGGGCTTCAATTGCATGTTCCCGGTCAGACGCCATTTTTAAATCCCCTTAGTTCGAACTGACTGCCTGTGGCTATACGCGGCAGTCAGAAGTTAATCCAAACTAAGTCCTTAGTTCGAATTAATTGTTACTCCTCATAAATAGCGCCCGCCTGGGAACATGCAAATGAAGCCCGGGATATTTAAATCCCAGGCTTCATTTGCAAGTTCGAATGCCTACATTAGACACCCTAGTTCAAACTAGGGGGCTAATGTAGACATACCCTAAGAGTCCACCATTAGGCTGTACTGCTCTGAACCATAGGGCTGTGTTATAGACTGTGGCCATTGTGCCGCAATGTCTTAGGATGAGGCATGCTTCTAACATGACACTGACTCAGAAAATAATTAAATCCAAGAAACCACTGTACCATCAACAGATCTTGTAACAATACAGTTATTTATCTGGAAAATTGATCCACTATTCAGTCAACTATGAATTTCATATCCTGAATTCACTAACATCAGCTAGAAAGATGTCACTAACTACTTACCCATTTCATTAATGTGTACCCTTTGTCTGTCAAGCCATCTGTTACGTTATTACATCCATAAAGGTTCTGCATAGCTCTTAACATGTTGTATACTGTAATGGGGCGGAGTGGCTGCCCACTGACCCCGAGGGGGAGGCGCCCCTCCCTGAGCCTTGGTTGGCAGCATCTGGCCCTAACAACCCACCTGACCAGACACTAGGAGGCAGGGCCAGGGATATGAAAGGCTTGGCAGAGAGGCCAGTGAAGTGCAGGCGACTGAAGGAGCCAGAAGCCTCCCCTGCACACCCAGAGGAGGAGCTGGACCCAGGAGAAGCCAAGGACAGGCTTGGGCCACCGGGCCCACAACTCCCAGACTGCCTAGAAGGACTGCTCTCCTGGCCAGAGGTGACAGAGTCCCGAGGACCTACACTGGACTCAGGTACAGCATGAGGGGGAGTGTGGAAAAAGCCCAGGGATAGCCGACCGCCTTTTAGCTGAGCCAGAGCCAGGTCAGCGTGTTGCAGAGTGGTTCCCCACCTACCCAGCAGCAGACTGCTCTGCTGCTACCAGGGCCCTGGTCTGGGCTGGAGTGGGGCCTGTGTCCCCCCTGCCACCCCACTCCTGGGTGGCAGTCTCTCCCCACAGCCTGAACCTGCCAGACCCCTGCCTGAACAAGAGGATCCAGCTGGGTGCTCAGGTTAAGACTATTTGTTTATGTATTTGCTTGCCGCCCTGCCCTGAACTAAGGCCGGACTTTGAACTGTTTGCTTGGCACCCCACCCTGAGCCAAGGCCAGGTCTTGACTGTTTCCTTTCTGCTCTGCCCTGAACCAAGGCTGGGCTCTAACTGTTTGCTTGCCGCCCCGCCCTGAACCCAGGCTGGGCTTTGAACTGTTTGTTTGGCCGCTTCGAACCGAGGCTTGAGGCTCTGAACTATTTGTTGCCGCCCACCCTGAGCAAGGGGCTGGGCTCTAGACCAAACCACTGTTAATTCCCCAAAAGACTAAGGAGGTGTAATGGGCCAGAGTGGCTACCCACTGACCCTGAGGTAGTGGTGCCCCTCCCTGAGCCTTACCAGTTCACGCGTGGTGGAGAATGAGGGCAGCATCCAACCCCTGATGAGAAGAGGTTAGCTGCCACCTGGAAAAAAAAAAGAGAAGACACAACAAGAGGGAGACATGGATCTCAACATTTTTTTTAAATACTGGACTGAGAGTCAGCAGCAGCAAAACCAGCAATTGGTACAACAGCTGGGTGTATAACATGAGCACCAGCAGCAGTTGATGTGGGAGACGGGCACCAGCAACAGCAGTTCCTCCAAAGGCTGGCCACCCAGCAACAAGAACTCCAGCTACAAGGCTTCCAGCAGCTGGCCACCTTAGGGTCCTGCTCCAACGGACAACCACCCGGGACTGCAAGAGACTCCCCAGCACCAGTCACACCCATATGGCTCTCCAAGATGGGGTCAGACGATGACCTGAAGACTTTTTGGAGAAGTTTGAGCATGTCGAGGTGGTGGTAGAATGGCCATGGTGTAGCCAGACAGGAACCCCCCTTGTAACATCCATTTTTGCTTGCCTGGATATGTAGGCTCAGTGACCGTGAATGGCTGTAAACAGAGATATGCCAATTGCTGACCAAGAGGCTGCCGAGGAGCGCCCTTGACTAAAACCCATATTGATACGAACACATAGCCGTCCGTGGGGGATCTCCCGCCCAGCAAAGAATATCCTGCACTCCTAATTTACCTATCTTCCTCTCTTACAAGTGTAAATTATTTGAAACTTGCTTGTAAGAACTGGCGCCACAAAACGGACCAGTACAATTTGGTATCTTAAGATAAGAAAGAGGATATGGGACCCCAGGGGTATAAAGATGGGTCCAGCAGCACATTTACTTTGAGTGTCAATGTACCATCTATCTGCTGGTCGGGTTAGGTGTTTGATCTCCCGAGGTTCCGTGGGGACGCCCACCTCGTATTCGTCTTTCCTAGGAATTGAGGGACCAGCCTGGCTTGACCCACTGGAGTCGAGAGGCACAGAAAGGGGTAAAACTTGTACCTGGATGTGGTCCTTTGTCTTAAGTGTACACATAGACTTAGAGCTCTTTAAAGATTAAGCTGTCACTTGGTACCATTATTTCTATTTTCTATCTTTACCTTTTTCCTGTAACCATTTTTAAGATCTATATATATATATTTGCTAGCATTTAAGAAATAGAGCAATAGCCACTGTAACCATATGATTTATAAGCTTCTTTAATAAACCTGTAACTGTTTAAGCTTTAACCTGACTCCTTCAGTTGCTGTAATAGAACCAAGCACAATTTAAAAGAACTTCAGCCGGTCATAAAGGGACAGACATAGGGAGAGCTTTTAAAAGAACTTCAGCCGGTCATAAGGGACAGGTATAGGAAGAGCTTGGGTGTTTTGGATCGTGTCACTCCCAGGTGACAGATCTATTGGGGCATCTCTCAGTCTTCCCTAGACTGCCCGCTGCGAAGGGATCCTGTATTCTAGCAGCTGAAATCTGAGATGTAATAAGCTCTTCCTATAAACTCTGGGGCGTCTGTCAGCCTGTTGGCTGCCCTCCGCAACAGGACCCCAGTCCTAGCGGTAAAGACATGGACGTTAAACCTTTTCTCAGTAACATACACACACACACTGCCCTGACCGTCGGCTGACACATGGGGGCAGTGGACCACTCTACTGGCATCCTACTTATCAGGGCCTGCCCGGACAGCCTAGCGAGGACTCCCTATTGAGGAGGTCCAAGAGTATGGGTCAGTCAAGGCTGTGATTCTGGACACCCTAGATATCACCCCAGAGACCTTCCGGCACCGGCTCTGGAGTACAAGTTACCTGACTGGGGCCCAATCGTGGGCAGTAGCTCAGGAAGTTAAAAGTCTCGCCCAGCAGTGGCTATGCCCAGAACAGAACTCTGCTGATGAAATTATTGAGCAGATCACCCTGGAACAGTTCATTTGGGTCCTCCCATTGCGTGGCTGGGCGTGGGTCCTTCGGCATTGCCTGGTGATGCTCCATGCCGCTGTCACCCTCATGGAGGACTATCTAGCAGCCAACGGATCCATTGGGTTGGGGGGGATTGTGTCCCCCTCCCTCCAGATGGGCCAGTGGCCCCACAACCCCTCACAGGGCCCTTGGAGAACTTGACCATCATTCTGACTCCCCAAGGTCTGGAGTCCGAACCTCAGAGAGAGGTTGATTGACCAATACACAGGGACGAGGAGCTCTGGAAACGCCCCAGCTGCGAGGTGGAGAAGAACGGCAGAACCGACTGCCAGGTGTGCACCCCTGACCACTCGGAGCTTGGTCCCTGCTTCTCCTGTGGCCACTTGGGACACCTGCAGCGGGATTGTCCGGAGATGGACTGCAACTTTGGACAGGTGTGTACCACAGAATCTCGGGCCCACATACCTGGCCCACCCAAGCTGACGGTACTGGTGAAAGTGCGGCTGCAGGAAGAGGTCACTCTTTTGGACTCTGGCTGTGGAAAGACCCATGTCCATGAGAATGTCATCCCCCGGCCAGTGGTGACCAATGGAGAGCTCTGACTCTAATGTATTCATGGTGCCATAAAGGCATACCTCCGGACCAGAGTGGCCATGACCATAAAAGGGATAACAGAGGAAATTGTGGTAGGGTTGAGGGCCCCCATCCTAGCCTACCCAATCATCCTCAGCTGAGACTGGCCTAGATTCACAGATCTCCTCTGGGGAACCAGTCTTGGATGGCAGCCTCCCCCTTTGGCTGTTCCAGAACCGCAACCTGAATCTGCCGGACCGCCACCTGAGCAAGGGGATCCAGCTGGGTGCTCATATTAAGACTATTTGTTTATGTATTTGCTCGCCACCCTGCCCTGAATAAGGCCAGGCTTTGAACTATTTGCCTGCTGCCCCACCCTGAACCAAGGCTAGGCTTTGAACTATTTGTTACCGCCTCATCCTGAAGCAAGGGCCTGGGCCTCTGAACTGGTTATTTTGCTGCCCTGCCCTGAGCAAGGGCTTGGGGCTTTGAACTGTTTGGCCGCCCTGCCCCGAACTGAGGTTTGGGGACTCTGAACTATTCGTTGCCGCCTGCCCTGAGCAAGGGCCTGGGCTCTTGACCAAACCACCGTTAATTCTCCAAAAGACTAAGCAGGGTGTAGTGGGGCGGAGTGGCCGCCCACTGACCCCAAGGGGCAGGTGCCCCTCCCTGATCCCTACCGGCTCACATATACTAAACAGACATGAAAGTGGTCGGATACAGTGTAGCGGTAAGAAGTTGCCACCAGTATGGGCCCATCCAGAGCCAATGTTAAAGCACTGCCACAGAAGTACTGCCAGACCATACTGGCAGGGCGGCCAATGGTATGGACCAGGGCCACCGACAGGAGGGGAAGAGGGAGGCAAAAGGGTCAGCTTCCCTGGGGCTGGTGATTTAAAAGATCCTAGTTGACTCTCAGCTGCTGCTGCTATGGCAGTGGCCAGATCCTTGGGCCCTGTAAATCACCCCTGGAGCCAGAGGTAGCACATGCTGAGGAGTACTGAAGAGATGGATGGGGGAGGCTTCTGTCTGAGGCCCCACCCCAGAGTCAGGCCACCATACCAGAATCCTTTATTTTAACCCGGATCCTAAAATTGCTAGTTGTGCCCTGGGCTGACATATCACAAGAAAGATTCAGGGGGCAGCCGAGTTAGTCTGTACAGGATAAACTTAAAAAACAACAAATGATCTCATAGCACTTTATACACTAACAAAACATGTAGATGGTATCACGAGCTTTCGTGGGTACAGCCCACTTCTTCAGATGACCAGAGTGTTGGATGTCCAGGACCAAAATAAATAGGGGAGAAGGAAGGGAGAGTGGAAGAAGGAAAAAATGAGAGAGGGGGGGACAAGAAGAGGCAGTGGGTAAAAAGTATCAAGGGGGAAAGAGCTGAAATGTACTAGGAAAAACAAATAGTTTCTAAGTACCTAAAGGCTGGATAGTCAAAAGAGGCAGATAAGAACCATTAATTAGCAACCAACAAATAATCAGGTAGCACTTAAAGACTGACAAAACATGTAGATGGTATCATGAGTTTATATCATAATAAGGTGACTTCTTTCCAAATGTTATGTGATGTCAAGCATCAGTTTAATCTTGGATGGCATACATAGCACTAGCTTGCCATTTCTTTGTCTATTGAATCACTTCAATGATTAATATTTTCAGAAGACTTTTATCTTGAAGACCATGAAAGTGCCTAGCAAAGCTGACAACCAGATTTCTGCTTTTTCAAAGTACAGTAGCAGTGGACTCCTTAGGTTGGGATTTGGAATTCTGCATAACCCTAACAAAATGTTCTTATAAAAAAACAACAAATGGTCTGGTAGCACTTTATAGACTAACAAAATGTGTAGATGGTATCATGAACTTTCGTGGGCACAGCCCACTTC